CCGCCGCCGTCGCCTCTGCCACCGTCACCGCCTCCGCCTTCGCCGCCGCCTCCTTCGCCGCCGCCTCCTTCGCCGCCCCCACCCAGCCCGCCTCCACCTTCGCCGCCGCCACCGTCCCCGCCGCCGCCCTCCCCGCCGCCGCCCTCCCCGCCGCCACCTTCACGTCCGCCGCCCTCGCCGCCTCCCGCTTCGCCCCCCGCGTGCCCGCCGCTCCCGCCCGCCTCGCCGGGGGGTTCGGACACGCCTGCCGACGGGGGATGTGGCTACAACAAAAAAGAGGCCATCTCTCTCACCCTGTCGTCAAATAAGGGCCTGCCTTGGTGGCTGTGGCTCATCCTTGCCGTCGTGGCGCTCCTCCTCCTCTGCTGCCTCTACCTCCTCCACAGGAAGTATCGCAAGAAGCGGATTTCAGAGGCAGATACGGACGACAGCGAGCGGACGGAGGGGGGCGTAGGTGCGAGCGCGGCCGGATACGCGCCCGCGTTGCATGCGCCGCGAGTGCCGGCGCCGGTGGCGGTCCCTTCTGGAATGGGGCGCTTTTCGCTGAAGACGCCGAGAGGCCCGCGGCCGGCGCCGGTGGCGGTCCCTTCTGGAATGGGGCGCTTTTCGCTGAAGACGCCGAGACATTCGCGGCCGGCCAACTGGGGGACGGCGGAAAGGTCGGACCGCATGTCGTCCGAGGACGAAGCCGCCGCGGACGACGAGCTGAGGATGATTGACGAGTGCGCCGCACCCCCTCCAGCGCCCACGCTCACGCTCTCCCCCTCTCACTCTCCTCTCCCTCGTCCCTCGTGCAGGCTCCAGGGGAAACGCTCGAGAGCGCTTGCCCTACCCCGGGGCGAGTGGATTGGTGAGGACGGAACAAGGATAACCAGGATCTAAGGGTGGGTGTAGAGGATGTAGAGTGTAGAGTGTTACAAGCCAAGCTCTGGGTTCCGGCTCCTAGCCAGATAGGGGGTCTGTTCACCACGGTGACACCCATAGTGCAATAGGTAGGTAGGTCCGGTTTTGACCGCCCCCCCCAGAGGGAGTGGAATCCCCCCTAACGCTATCGGGGTACCCGGGTAGGAGCCGGAACGCTGGCTGTCTCTCTCGCTCCCTGGAGGAGAAGATGTGCTCCGCCTCCCAGCCCGAGCCAATAACTGTGGAGTGCCCACCCGAGGTGCCCGACGCGGACCCGGAAGAGGAGTACGAGCGGCTGCCAGTCTACGTGGAGCGGCTCGGCATCCTTGATGAGGCGGAGGCTGAAGCTGAGGCCGCCGACGGCTGGATCAAGTTTGAGGAGGAGACGGCAGCCACCGCTCCGGTGGTGACAGACAGCGGGGGCGGCGACGTTGAATTTGGCAACTTTGAGGGCGGCTTTGGCGGCAGCGACAGCTTTGGCGCCGCGCCTTCCCCTCGGCTCGCCGCTTCGGACGTGGAGCTGATCAAGAGCGCGATGGCGGCGCTCGACATTCAGCCTCCGCCGTGGATCCGGAAGATGCAGCACCTTCAGGCCGGCGCTCGCCGCGGGACAGCCGCCCTCTCCCTCACCCTCCCCCCGTCCAGCTCCCCCTCAGCGCGCCGCGGGATGCGTGTTGCGCAGGCGGTGCAGCGAGCGCAGACCGCCGTCGCGGCTGCCTGCGGCGAGGAGGCGCCTCCAGAGACGCCTTTGGGCGCGCGTCGGAGGTCCACTACGCGCACCGGTCCAGGACACGTCCAGGACCTGTCCGAGGCGTGATCACAGGCGCCGCGTCGGAAGTCCACTTCGCGCACCGAGCGCACGAGCTGCTGCCGCACGCAAACCTCTCGCGCGGCACGCTCGCCGCCGCCTCCCCCTTCGCCGCCGCATCCGCCGCCGCCGGAAGCTCCGCCGCCGAATGCGCGGGACTGGCCGCCAGCGGGCCTGCGGCCAACCTCGCAGGCCTGCCCGCACGGCGGAAAAAGGCACGGCTCCTCCTCCTCCTCCTCCTCCTCCCGGGCGTCGCCTCCCTCTCCTCCTCCTCGGACATGTCTCACCCGCACCGCCTCCTCTTCCCGCGCAGGTGACGGGCAGGGAGCTGGCGGCGGAGCGGAGGAGGGAGCGGGAGGTGCGGCGGGCGGCGGCGGCCGCCGCCGCCAGGTAGGACATTTTTCGCGAGTGTCGTCCTCGCGAGGATCCTGCCATGTGGACTTGTGCGCGGGAGACGCACAGTCGGAGTCGAGCAGACAGCTATATGTGTCAAGGTGTGTACCCCGCGTCTGGTCTCGTGCCAATGGAGCACCGGCGAGACGTCTGCCGACGAGCGAGACGCGCTGGCACGTAATTTGCTTTTTCTCGAGGATTGTAGTTTGTGTACATGTCCGCTGTGCCCCGACGCGTCTCATGTGCTACTGAACGTTGTGTGCTTGTGTCAGCTGGCTCGTGTGCGGCAGGAGGCCAGGAGCGCGCGCGCGCGCGGCGGCCGGCGCGGGGCGCGCGGGCCCGTGCCGGCGGGGGCGGCTTGTGACGAGCTGTGGCCTGACGCGCTGACGCCTGTGCGTCAGCGTGAGCGTGTGCCGTGTGTGATTTCCCGCCTAACACGCCACTCTCCCCCTACGCTCTAGCCTGCGAGCGGAGGGGTGCTCATATAGGAAGAGTCTACGAAGAGGCGCGTCCCCGCGGCCTTACGGCTGTTACTACGTAAGCCCTTACCTCCACTTCTACTCCCACGGCACTGGCTTGCCGGCGGCCACCCACGCCGTCCCCGGCCCCTCTGGCGAAGCGAGCGGCGAGGGCGCCGCGTCCCATCCCTCGATCAGGCTGCTCGCCTCGCCGAGGCCGGCCGCCTCCCCCCACCACGCGCCATCCGCCGGCGGCGTCAGCGCCACCTCCGCATCGGCCCTTGGCAGCGGGTGGGTCGGCCGGGTGAGCAGGACGCAGCGCGCGCCGCAGCGGAGTGCGCCGAGCAGGTCCTTCGAGATGGAGTCCCCGATGTGCACCTGCGGTGAGGTGAGGCGAGATGAGGCGAGATTAGCCGAGATGGAGTCTCCGATGTGCGCCTACCTCGACGCACTACGGGGCCAGGCTGGTGGCTGATCTCTCATGCTCATCAGCTTGGCGGGTCCTCTCGAGAGTGTCGCGCCAGCTGGGAGACGTGGCACCCCGCCGCCTGCGCCAAGAGGGGCCGAGGTCAGCCGAGAGGAGGCGAGAGGAGGCCGAGAGGAGGCCGATGTGAGCCGAGAAGTGGCGGTCCGCCGCCTGCGCCGCCATCAGGAAGGGCGGCATCGACCCCTTGTGGCAGCCTGCAGAGCCAATCATCCGAGGCGAGTGGCGAGCCACTACCCGTCCCTCTGCCTCGGCCTCTTAAGGCGGCGGCGACCCGCGTCTGCGGCGGTAATCGCAAAGTCGAAGAGCGGCGCGGTGAGCGCGTCGCGCGCCACGTCGGCGTTGCCGTCGGTGATGGCGCCTGTGATGTCGACTCTTGGGCTGATGATTCATGAGAGTAGCCCACGCCCGCGCTGCCGTGAGGGCGCCGACGACGTAGCCCGCGGCGCGCAGTCGGGCGACCGTGCCCGCCACGTCGGTGAAGAGGTGGTCGCCTAGAAGGTTCCGTGAAGGTTCCGAGAACCTTCCGAGAAGGTTGCGGGTGGCCCGCCCCAGCGGTGAAGAGGTGGTCGCCGGTCTGAGAGCGGGCGGTGATGAAGGCCTGCGGGCAGGCTCCGAGAAGCTTCAGACGCGGTTCCGAGAAGCTTCAGAGGCACGCTGCTGTCGCGCGGTCTGGGTGCGCGGAGCAGGCGGGGATGGGGATGGGCGCCTCTCCGAGCGCGGCGACCTGCTGCGAGCTCAGCGCCTCGCCGTGCTCCTCCGCCACCTATAGGAAGGCTCATGGAAAGCTCATGGAAGGCTCCTGCGAGCTCAGCGCCTCGCCGTGCTCCTCCGCCACCTATAGGAAAGCTCATGGAAGGCTCATGGAAGGCTCCTGCAAGCTCAGCGCCTCGCCGTGCTCCTCCGCCACCCTGCTCAGCGCGGCCGCGCGCAACTCGAGCATGTCGTGCGCGATGAGCGGCCGCTCCTACTAGCTAGTACTCTTCAGTCTGAATACTTCTATCACTCGTAATGTGATGTCGTGCGCGATGAGCGGCCGCTCCTCGCGCAGCGCGCGGAAGGCGCCGCCGAGGCTCGCGAGGGCACCCGACTCGTGCGAGCGCGGCATCGCCTCAGCCAGCAGCGGCTCCATCGCCCGCCGCGCGGCGTCGATCGGAGGCATCGTCGGCCAACATGTCTCATCCAGGTCAAAGGTGATGCACGCCACCGACCCGCCGCCGCCGCCCGCCCGCCCGCCCCCCCGGGCAGGGCAAGCCCGCGGCTGCCGCAGCCACCCTCCCCACCGATCCGGCTGGCTTGCTCGCACCGACTCGACGAAGCGCGCCTGACCCGCACCCCTCAGCCGTGAAGAGGCGCCGTTCACAGCTGCGTCGCTCGCGCCGGCCCGAAGAGCCCCGCCAGCTGCGCGCGCGTCTACATCTCGGCTATCTCCGCACACCTTGGCGATCTCTCGGCGATCTCTCGGCGATCTCTCGGCGATCTCTCGGCGATCTCTCGGCGATCTCTCGGCGATCTCTCGGCGATCTCTCGGCGATCTCTCGGCGCCAGCTGCGCTCGCGTCTCCGCGACGCCGCTCGAGAGGCCTAGCGAGCCGCTGCCGCGCGGGTGAGCCCTTCCCCTTCCCTAGGCGGAGGGCGTGACTCGCGCAGGAAGAGGTTTGGCCGGTGTCGACGACGAAGTCTGCGCGCGCGCGCTTGTCGGCGTCCGGCAGCTGCCTACCCACCGCCGCACGGAGGAATGGACGACTCTCGCTCAGGCGCGTGCTTGGACTCGCCGGTGTGTCGCAGTCGACCTCGCCAGGATGGACTCGAGCTTTGGCTCGCTCATCCCAGGCCGCGCGAGGCAGCGGCGGCGCTGCTCGGCGGCGCTGCAGGAAACGAGGAGGACGACGTCCACCTGCTCACGGCAGCGGCGTGAAGAGACGCTGCTCACGCCCGGGGAGAGGAGGAGGCGACGTCGTCCGCCTCGGCTCGCAGGGCCGCCTGAGAGGAGCACGACGCGGAAGTGTCTCGGAAGCGTCTCGGAAGCGTCTCAGAAGTGGCTCGCAGGGCCGCCTCGTCGCGCAGTGTCTCGAGGAGGAGAGGGACGTCGACCACGACAAGCCACTCGCCCTCCTCCCCCGCCCGCCGGACGAACCCCGCCCGTTCCTCCGTCACAAGCGGGTGCACGATCTCCTCTAGCCGCTGCAGCGACGCCTCGCGGCCGGCGGTGGCGACGGCGGCCGAGAGGGCGGCGCGATCGATGCCTCCGTCGGCGCCGCGCGCGCTCGGGAAGGCGGCGCACACCGGCTCGACCGCCGCGCCGCCCGCTGCGTACAGCGAGTGCACCGTCGCGTCGGCGTCGTGCACGCGGAAGCCACACCTGCGGAACCACGCGGCCGCGGAGCTCTTGCCCATGCCGATGCCGCCCGTGAGGCCGACGACGGTGGCGGTGCTGCTGCGCGCGGGGATGCGAGCTCCCACGCCGGCGGCAGCAATGGCCGCAAGCCCTGCCATCGTTCTGTCTTTTGAGAGCGCCTTCGTTGTTAATAGTACAAACCCAATGGTCCCTTGCGAGCGGTCCGTCGTTGCAGTCGCACACACTCACACGCCACGCCGCACCGCGCGCCCACCCGCTGCCCCGCCCAGGCGGGAAAGAGATGAGGAGATGGGACAGCGAAGGAGGAGCACAAGCACGTATGGGAGGGTTCAGTAATGCGCCACGCTGCCCGGCGTCTCTCACTTTCCGGGACAGCCCCGCCCTTGTGAGGCAGGAGAGTGACGGCTACCCCGTACGCCCTGTTGCTTCTACCCCGACGCCGACCGCCCATCCGCCCCTCCTCGCTCCCGCCCCGAATGCTCCGGACCCCGACAAGCTGCCCGACGTTGGGCCTCTGCCCCGCACGCTCCCGCCCCTCTGCCCCTCACACACACCCAGGCCCGACATGCACATACAAGACAAACCCGGCGTCCTGCTCTCAAAAGAAAAGAAAAAAATGGGAAGGAGGAGACCAGCGGGGGAGACTCCCCGCCTATGCAACACCCCAGAGAGGGGCTGCCATCGCCGAAGCTGTGCCTAATGGAATTTTCAGAAAATGAAAATTTCCGGTAAAATCACGATGTCAAACGTCCCCAAATGGGTGATCTGATGCTTGTAGGGCTTGAGAGTGGCCTGCCATGTCACAAGAAGGACTGTGGTTGCAGGAGAGTACCACCCTACTGTCTTCCACGTATTCCAAATGACCTCCCAGAGGCCTGTATTCTGCCGTATTCCACCCGTATTCCACGTATTCCATGGAATACGCCGTATTCCAAGCTCCCAAAATGGACGTATTCCGTATAAAATTTTCTTCGCTCCGCGAATTCAGACAGTAGGAGTACCACCAACCATCACTCTAGTTGGTATAGTACCCCACCTTCACCCATCGAGTGATTTCTTTTTTTAGTTTCCCATAAGTAAGGTAAGTAGGTAGGTAGGTAGGTAGGGGCAGGGGAGAGGCCGGCGGAGTTTTTCCTGAATTTCAGCTCAGGTCCGCCCCAAGCAAAAAGAACACACACTCTGTCTGAGAGCACACACATGCAGCCCAGCATGCAGCCTCCGCCCGTTCGTGTGCTCTGCCTGCACGGCTACGCCTCTAACGGAGAGACCTTCCTCGCTACCAAGGCCAAGGCCCTTGTCCGGCGCCTCGCAGCTGATCTTCCCAGTTTAGAGCTCTGTGGCCATCGGACGGGCGACTTCACCGTTGCGGGTGCACGGCACGGAAAACAGCGCGCTTGGTTCCTCTTTGAGCCGCCGTATCCGCTCACGGACCGCACTCAGCAGCCGGCCTGGCGCGCACACGAGCACGTGGAGTACGTGAGCGTCGACTCAGCGCTAGACCGACTGGCAGATGATTGGCGCAGTGGAGGCTTCGACGGCGTCCTCGGCTTCAGTCAAGGCGTGCGCTGGCTGTCTCGCCCTCCAACTACTGTCCTGACATCGCACCCGTTTTGTCGAGGCGCGCTGATGGCCGCACTGCTCTGCGCACGGCTGGAGGAGCGCGGCGAGGCGTGCTCCACTCCCCGCCCAGCAGCTAACCGCCGCGCTCACACCTCATCACCATGTCTCATGGTACGTGAAGGCGCCGCCAAGGGTCGCAATCTTCTTCAACGGGTTCCTCACGCCGCTGCCTTCCAACCCGCCGCTCCGCTGGTGGCGCGACCTCGCTCCCTCCTCCCTCCGCACACCCACGCTCGTCGTGTGCGGCTCGGCCGACCCCGTCGACGCCGGAGGCCAGGTCCTACCTCGCGAACCACGCGGAGGCGGACCTGCAGGGACATTGCCGAGACTGCGCCGTGTCGAGCGCCATGTAGGCCGCGCGCCTCGCCGCGCTCTTCGCCACTTCGCGCGTGCACGTCGTGCCGAACGGTCGAGCTCCCAGTATACGCCACAGCGCGGGCGGAGACGCAGCGATCCACTCCCTTCTCCTCACGCCGTAGGTGCGCACGCGATGCCGCGAGAGGAGGAGGACCTCGCCGCGATCTCTACCTTTTGTCGCGCTGCGCTCTGCGGCCGCGCCGCGCTCGGGGGTGGCGAAGTTGGGGCAGCCTCGGCGGGGGAGGCAGGCGCCAGTCCACACCCGTGTCGTGCCAGTTTGCTGTGAGGCAAGGCAGGTTTTCTCAGATTCATTTACAAAATGTTGAACTCGGGGGCTGCCGCACACGACGCGGTACACACGGGGTACGACCCTCCCGGTCCTGACTTTAGTACCGCCATGAAAAGGGGACCGCAACAATCGCTCCGTCGCTCCTCGCGCTCGGCCACTGGAGTGACGGGCTCCGTCAACCGTTGAAGGTGTCGTGTCGATGAGCTTCTAACTCGATCGCGTTCTCGAGATACAGCTTGAGATGTGTGAGTTGGAGTGGCCTCACGGAGTCGGCGCCGCCGCTCGGCGCTCTTCATCTGGTTTGGCGATCCAGCGCTGCTCGTCCAGACAGAGGCTGCCTCCACTCCCGAGCTGCTCAGGCCTGGTCAAGGCCATCCACCGGCATGCTCTGGGAGCGCGGATGCACACCAGATCGCGCTGCTGGACCCGCGGTGGCTGCCTTCGCCCACCGGCAGCGCCGGTGCGACGACATGCCTGGCGGCGGTCTTCCGCAAACTACTGTCAGGCGAGTGCACGGATATGATCATGGGCGCTTGCATGTGTGCTCAGGGCGTCTTAGGTGCTGCGTGGCGTGTGGCTCTGCTCCACGAGCCCGGTTGAGTGTTCTGTAATTGTGGTTGGGACTAAAGTCACTTGCGGGAGTTCGTACACCAAAAGGCACCGGCTGCAGGGCGTTCACTCGAACGCCATGCACATGGCGCGGAGCAGCATCGGGTTGGTGTCGAACCCGAGCGGGTCCTCCTCCCAATCCCGGCGCCTCAGATGAATGTCTTATCTTTCCGCTGTCTTAGATGATTCGCGCCGTTGCAACTGCCATCGTCGGCTGCTTGTCGGCTGCTGCACCGCTGGCGGCGCGTTTTAGTGCCGCGGCGCCCAGCTCTCCTGTGTGTGGGCTCGCGGCGGCTCGCCGCCGCGGTGCCGAACAATGTGAGCGGTCCGGATTCGTCCCGGCGTGCCGCCGGTGCCGCTTCCTCGCCGATTTTTGCTCGACCACTTAGTCGACAAACCTGCCCCAGAGCTCCTGCTGCTCGACTGAGCGGCGGAGCCGGCCCATCGCGGCCGAGAGGCGATGCGCCGACACCGGGGCTACGGCTCGGGACCATTCCCGGGCCGTCTCGGGCAAGTTCAAAATCTGGTGTTTCATGCCCTCGACATTCTGCTGCACACTTTGACCTCACCTCGCGGCCCGCTGCGCGGCTCTTCGAGCGCGAGAGGTGGCGTCTGCGAGGCGGCGGCGAGCGCAGGCGGCGCGGGCGGCGGCGGCGCGGCGGCGGATCGCGGCGCTGACAACGGCAGCAATCTGCGGCAGGCTGCTGCTTCAAGCAGCAGCAGCAGCAGCAGCTGCTGCTGCTCCGCTGCTGCTGATTGTGGCTACGATTTCTAGGGGGACGCAGGGGTCACTCCCGACGACCTCGGGGACCAGCCGGGGCAGTCGGAGAAGGGGCAACTCCGTGCACTGACGGTCGGCCGCCAGAAAACACGCCTCCGTGGCTCGGGTTACACCAATCCTCGCTACCCAACGCGGCCAAAGCATAGGATTCCTATCCACCTCGAGAACCCTCGAGAGAACCGCTGTCTTCGTGGAAGTCTCTCGCGAAGCAGAGGCCACCGCCAGCCACGCGAGGCCCCAACAGAGCGAGCGCGTCGGTTGTGACAGAGCTCTCGCGCCACAATATGCCGGCCTTTTTTTTCGCCGTCGCCGCCACCGCCATTCGCGGAGGCATTGGCGTCCGCGCTCCAGCTCTCAGTCTCCGTGCCACGCCGGCTGTGAGCATGGGAGAGGCGGACGCCTCGCTGATGGAGCTGGCGCGGCGGCGCGACTTTCAGAGCTTCGTGGCGCAGGCGCGCGACGAGCCTTCGAGCGTGCTCCAGCTCGTCAAGGATGCGGGCGTTGCGGGCGCCATCTCGTACACCGCCGTCGAGCTCACCTTCTTCGCCGTCGCGCTGCCCGTCGGGTACGTGGCGTGGCACGCGAGCACCGGCGAGTGGCTGCAACCGCTGCTGCTGCTGCGCGGCGATGATGTCGAGGGCAAGGCGCGCCTGCTGGGGCTGCTGCTCTCATACGTCGTGCTGCTGAAGACGCTCTTCCCCGTGCGGCTCGGCAGCCACCCTCCTTGCCAGCGTCACGCTCTTGGTGAGCGGCGCATCGAGAAGGAGAGCTGCGTCCATAGGCAGCACCCTCCTGCTAACGCCGTACACGCAGCGGCTCCTCGGCGGGCTCACGCTGCCCAGCGGCCGGGGCGCGGCCGCCCGCGGATCGCTCAAGGCGGAGATCCGCTCGCTGGCGGCGAGCTCGCGAGGGGGCGTGCTCCCGTTCGACGCGGCGCAGCAGCAGCGCTTCGACGCGGCGCTCGCGGAGCTGTCTGCGCTCAACCCGACGCCGGAGCCTGCTCGCTCGCCCTTGTTCTCGGGGACGTGGGAGTGCGTTCGCATGCGTAGTGTGGTGGACTCGCCTCTTCTCGGGGTCGTGGGAGGGAGTGCGTCCGTAGTAGGAGAGTGCAGTCTGCTCGCCTCTGTGGGGGTGCGTCTGTGGACGACGGAGTGCCGGGGGGAACCCAACCAATGGTTAGTGATTGAGTACCAACTGCCAAGTGCTAGGTGCGTCTGGACGACGGAGAGCGAGCTCAACTTTGCCGTCGACAAGGGCCTCCTCGGCCTGCCCTGGCGGCGCACGTACCAGACGATCGACGTGCCCAGAGGCGCGCTGACGACGCCCAGTCGCCCGCGCAGCCCTCTCTTGGACTGATTCGCAGCCCCCTCCTTTTGCCCGGAGGCACGCTCACGAACGTCATCGAGTTCGAGGAGGGCGGTTTCCTGCGCGTCGGCTCGACCATCTCCCCCGACGCCGAACGCGGCGAGCGGTTCTCCTTCTCCTTTGACTCGTGCGCGGTGCGGTGGCGCTCCCTCGAGCTGCCGCTGCCGCCGGTGGGCCGCGGCTGGGGCGAGCTGCTCTACCTCGACGACGAGTTACGCGTGCAGCGAGACGTGCGCGGCGACCTGCTCGTCGCGACGCGCGTCGGCTGAGGACCCAGCCAGATCGCAACGACTTCGGACTAGCACTCGCAGCTCAGCTCGAGTTTCGTAATTCTTTTTTAATAACGGAGTCGCTTAGGCGGCTCCGGTGGTGAGCCGGTGTGTGTGCCAGTCCGCGCCAGTCCGCGCCCTTGTCGTGCCAGTGTGCTGTGAGAGAGGCTTCGCGTAACTTGGAGCACTTGGAGTGCAGTCATCAACCGCACATCCAGGGCCGGGGAGCTAAGAAGCGCACCCAGCGGGCCGGATGATTGGCATCGGGTTGCGGGCAAGAGAGCCTTCGCCCCGGGGGCGTAACAATTCTTTTTTGAGGCCGCGCCGCTTTTGCGTTGGTCGCTCGCCGAGCAAGAGCGTCTCAACCTTGGGCCGGCCGCCAGTCGACGCAAACATGCTCATGTTGACGGCCGCCGCCGTTTTCTCTACCTTGCTCACGCCAACGGTGACCAACTGCAGCGAATTCCCTTTGTGGCAAACCGACCCGCTCGTCAATGCGACGGGGCTACCCTGTGCCTGTGTCACCGAGCCATGGGAGTACCTCGACGACGTATATATCTCAAGCTCAGCTTGCCGTGACGCGATCTTTTCACCCGCACTTGCCGCGAACCCAGAGTGGGTCTCTGTTGCCGAAGCAGGCGAATGGTGGTCCATCTCCTCGTTGGTCGCCAGCTACTATTGCGGCACGGAGACATCGCCTCACCTTTGGCCCGGTCAGCTTCCCGACGGCGCTGTGCCGCTCAACGAGCCGGCTTGTTTCGAGGTCGCAAAGGACCTCATGTACGAACGGCCAATAAGCACCTGCCAGTCGGTCGCCGCCGGGATGAAGGTCTCGGCGGATGTTTATGGCTCCGAATGGTTCAGCGAGAACCAGGCTTGGCGCCACTACTGCAGCCGCACTCGACCGGCTTGGGAGTGGTCCGCGAAGGACGTGGCCACGCTGAACTTCTTCGTCGCCCCCTACATGCGGCTCACGTTTCCGAAGTACGTGCACCTCAACTTTTATGCCAACCGCATCACCGGTGCGTCGCGTGAGCCCGCTGCTCCGCGAGCGAGTGAAAGAGCAGCGAGACGGCCGCGACGCGAGCGATGTCGGCCTTAGCATTTCCCTCACTTCCTTGCAGTGACCAGTAAGCATTAATTTAGGTGCATCTTGGGGACCGATGGCGCCCGTGGAGTACGTGGAGCTCGGGATCACGCTCTACGGAATCGCCGTGGCGCACCACAAGTGGATCACGGATTGGATCGACGTATCGTTCCGCGGCCCACCCTGCTCTCAGATAACGCCGGAGAGCAACCCGTGTCCGGAGGGTGCCCCGGCGAGAGTGGCGACCCTGATCTCGGTCGAGCGGCTGCTCGACGTCGTGGCACCGACGTACTTTGAGGTTGAGTTCTACATCTCCTTCAGCTGGCAAGACAGTCGCATCTCGGAGAGCTGTACAGCGACCGAGACCGACGCCGAGCCCGATTTTCAGGACCCCTGCACCCTGTTCTGGCGGCCGGCGATGAACGAGGCGTGGACCCTCCCAACGGCCTTGCTCGGCGACGAGGAGCCGCAAGTCGTCGAGGACTTCGGAACCAACCGCGCCCCGCCGGAGGGTCGAGCGTAGTTTGCGCGTCTCTCCACACACGACTCGCTGCGAATAGGTACTACGTTTCACGTCGGCCAGGACAGCACAGCCGCTGGCACTTCGGAGCAGACGGAGGGGCTGCAGCGGTCGTACGGACAGACGGCGATGCGCATACGCGCGCGTTTCCTCACCATCATGGACTACCGCCGCTACCCATACGACAAGCAATTGCTCAACATCACGATTCGCGCGACGTCCAGCGCAACGGCGGACGCGGTGCGCTTCTACTCGACCGCGAACGACATGACCAAGGGCAAACTCCACCCCGGTGCGCGCTTTTCCCTTCCGGCCTCACACGCACATGCCGGGGCTGCTGATCTGTGACCTCCCCCCTGTGAACCCCCCCTGAAGTCTGGCGGGTCGCCAGCGCAACCTCCAGCGACCGCATGGTTCTCTCGCAGCCGGACCTCGCCGTGCAGTACCAAGCCGCCGCCTCTGACGAGAGTATCGCAGCCAAGGAGCTGGCCGACGGCTTCGTCGACCCCGCGCTCAAGTGGCAGGTGACGCAAGCGAAGCAGCTGGGCGGCGGGCCTGCGAACCTGACGCGCGTGTACGAGACGACGGTCACCCTCGAGGTGCAGCGCGAGTGCAGCTATTACGTGGGCAACTACTTGATGCTCGAGTCGATCCTAGTACTTTTGGCATGGATCACGTTCTTAATTTCGCCAGAGTGCACCGAGACGCGCCTCAGCATCGCGCTGACCCTAGTGCTGGCCATCAACGTGTTTCAGATCGTGGCTGCTCGTCGAGAACCTTCCTGAGACGGCGTCCCACAGCAGTGTTGCTGACAAGTCGGCCCACGTGCCTCCTAATGTGCCGTACCGTTCTCACATAGGGCTACCTGACCGACCTGAGCATCTTCACTATCTGCAACACCGTGTTGCTCTGCCTCATCGCCGCTGAGTCCATCCTTGTCGCCGAAGCGTACAGGCGCGTGATGAAGCGCGAGGAGATCGCGAGAGAATGCAAGAAGCATTCCAACTCAGAGAAGGCGCAAGCCGCGGCGCGCACGATCCAGCGCGCCGCGCGCGCGATGCTACGCAAGACACTCGGCAAGCTGTGGCGGATGAGCGTGGCGGCGCCTGCTCAGCGTCGGGCAAGCACTCGGGCAAGCACTGGCGCGTCGTCGTCGGTGGAGAAGCTGAAGGTCGTGCTTCACGCGCCGGAGGAGCAGGTGGCAGAGCAGTCGCGCAAGCTCCGTCGCTCCGTCAAGCGCCAGCGGCGGCGGGGCGGGTATTGGTGCAGCTGCAAGCCGATCTGCGGCGCGCGCAAGCGGCTCAACATTTGGTTCTCGTACACCTTTGACAGGAAGGCGCGCTTCCTCGCGTACGAGACCGACCGCATCTCGGCCTTCTTCGTCTTCCCGGCGCTGTTCTTGGGGTACACCCTCGCAATCTTCCTCGCCAAGGGCGACAACAAGCGCAACTTCTGGTGCTTCTCGGACTGATCTGAGCAAGGTGCGCAGAGGATGTGGTGAGTGGAGCTGACGGTGAGGTGCACGTGTGGGCTTACGGTTTGCCCCCGTACGAGTAGTATTGGAACCGACCGAGCATCGTGTTTGAGTGAGTGCGATTCGGTATGCCCAGTAAGCCGGGGGGGGGATGTCGCCGAGAAGGTCGCGTTTCTTTTCCTGCCAGTGCGCGCCAGTCCCGTGCCCAGTGTTGTGCGAGGGAGTTTTGTTGTAAAATTCTTTTCCTCGCGATGTCCACCCCACCGCCCGCGCAGCGCGCCGCCTCGCCTCCGCCGCCCACGAAGATCGAGGCGCGGGAGCCGTAGCTGTAGCATACACTTCTTGGGCCGTTGGGGTTTTTGAGCTAGCTGACGGGCGAGAAGGGGGTAGCTGCGCGTCCCGTAGCCGTACACACTGGGGCCAGCACTGCGTCGTTTGCGGTTTTTGGCTTTGGGCCCTCTCTCTTCTGCTGGGGGTGTGCGGTCACGACTAGTTGCAAATACGGGTGGTGTCACAATGACCACTTTTGATGTTTTTTTGTCCGTGTTGCTCCCAGCGCCCTCGCCCGCGCTCCCTGAGGCCATGGCTGGTGATACTAGTATGGGGGGCTACCTGGATACCGCGAGAGCGACCCAACTCGTCGACATCGTCCGATGATGGTGCCTCAAAGTCAGCCTCCGGAGGCTATCGTCGCGTCGAGCCGGCGGTGGCCGTGACATGTGGTTCCACCACCCCTCGCAGGCTTTGCCTCTGACCGCCACCGTTCCCAGGCTGCCTAATGGGATGGAAAGGAAGGCTGGGCGAGCGTATAGAAGCGTGCTCAACCTTGTCGTGGCAACCTGCACGGCAGCGCTGGCAGGCGCGATGAGCGTCGTGCCACCTGACCCGAGACGGGTCGCAGGCGTCGTACCGAGCGCGTCGAGACCGTGTCCTGATGCGCTCTGCACGGGTGAGTCACGTCGGCGTCAAAGGAGCGACGTGTGACCTGTCAGAGCTTGATCTCCGATCTCAGCGGCGTCGAGTCGCCTTCGGCGGCGACAGCTAGGATGCATCTCCTCCGTCGTTTTTCGCGCTACGGCCCTGAGAAGCTGGCGCCGCACGCAGGCGGACCTTGTGTATGCGGCGAACGCTTAAAAAGTGGGTGCTCTACGTCACTTTTTTTGAGTAGATAGTGCCGAGCTGGCCGTGACAGCGATTTTGGTAGTTCCTGGCGGGTTTTGCACCAAAGACTTTTTGCAACTAGTCTCACGGTAATCGGTGTGGCGGGGGCCGACGCCGCTGAGGCGGTCGTTACAGTACACTTCTCTATACGAGACTCTACGGCTACACACAGAGAGAACTCTCATCAGATTACAGATAACAGACCTGAGTTGCCGTCTCGCCTCGCCCTGCACAGTTCCGCACACAGGCTTCACACGCCGGCGGGGAAAGGCGGCGGCGCGTCCTCCTCGTCGCTGCTGCTCTCCCCGGCGGCCGCTTCGTTGTACCGCGCCGCCTCCGCCCATTGCCACGGCTCGACGCTGCGGCCGAGGGCGCGGTCGGTCAGCGAGGCGTCGTCGGCGGCGCGCGAGAGCGGGAAGGAAGCGTAGACTGCCCACGGAGAGGTGAAGAGGTACCTGTGTTGTGGTGTCATGGGCGTGAGCACGGGACCAGCGGGGTCGGAGCATCGCGTGCACACGAATGCTGACGAGGGAGTCTCGAGCGTGCTAGATCTCGTCCGAATCCCCCGCGTCTGGGAGCGCACCCCCAGCTCGGCGGATGCCGCACCAGCCGCTCGGCGGGGAAGGCGCCAAGCTGAGCGTGTGACACCCGCAGCAGCGAGCCGCCCTCCAGCCGCCACCGCATCAGCCCGTCCCACGCCTCCTCCTCCCAGCGGACAGCGCCTGCAGGGCATGCCGCGGACATGTCGTGGGCGTGTCTCCCGCGTCTCCCTCCCCTCTGAGCGGGCGCGGCGCCGTCGGGCTCAAAGCGGAGCGTGCGCGCGCGGGCGCCCTGCCAGTACGGGTCGCTCCCTGTCCAGTGCTCCCCAGCGGCGCGCTTGAAGCGAAAGTGCCACGTCAGCTCGCACAGCAGCGACGGGTCAATGTGCCGCGCCTCCGACTCGGCGAGCGAGCGGCGGAGTGCGCTCCTGCCGTGCTGCCGCCGCTGCGCGCGGCAAGCCTCGGAGACGTGCCGGCCCTCCCACACTCGCTCCGCAAGAGACGCCCAGAGCGAGTTGCTCGCAGCGAGCCTCGCCCAGCGGGACGAGACGCACGCCGCACGGCCGAGGCCCGCCAGCGGCAGGAGGCCGAGCACGTGAAGCAGCAGGTCGTCGCTGTCGAGGCACTCGGAGATCAGCCGTAGCGCAGCCGGCGACCGTTCGCAGAGGCTGCCCGACGCACCGCCGGATGAAGAGGACGCAGGAGCGCGCTTCTTCGATCGGGTGCGAGGCATACCGCTGGGCAGTCCCACACTCATTTCTTTTTTACGTCGAATTCCACCACCTTCACTCGCCAACGCCCCACATGCATGTGCTGATCCCAGCTCACCCCTACGAGGAGCGGCTATCGGCCATCTGACGCCGTCGCCTTTCTAGCGATCGAGCCGCGTTTACGCATCGAGTCAATGATCTTGTTGATTTTGGATGCAGTGCTCGACGACGCCACTGTCCGGCTCCTCTCGGCCGCATTGAAGCGCGAAAAGGCAAAGTCGGTGGCAAACATTGAGGCGACCTCGTAGTCGCTGGCCGAGCCGTCAATGGCGCCCTCCGCCATCGCACTGGTCGTGAACTCGCCCGAGTCGGGGTAGACATCCACCTGGCGCAGGAGGCATGAAGGGGGTGCGCGGTGTGGCGAGGGGAGAGGAAAGGTGGGGGCGCCGACCTTGCCGTTCCTCACCGCGCTAGAGGCAAAGGACTGGCCGACGATGCCATGTGGCTGGCTGCGCGCCGCCGCGTCGCCCTTTCCGTTGACGCCAACGTCTAACCTGTGCTCCGGGCCAGTGATGACGGAGAGGTCATTACCATTCCTCCATACATCCTCCCGGCTTCACCGGCGGGCGTCTGGGAGTGTGTCGTCAACTGGCCGGTGGGTCTTTCAGTGTGGTGAGGTGGGTTTCGTGACCGTTCAGCGTCGATGCCGCCTTACTTACCTGTTCCCCGCTGGCGCGACCCCGCGCCGGCCAGCGGAGCAATTGCCCGCTCAGTCACCACCCCCGCCGGCGCGACGCGATCCGATCGGCGCCGCCACCGACGGGGCCGCCGGCACGGAGTAGATTCCGTCGTCGCCGGTCGGGGTGTTGATAGGAAGAGGCAGACTCCCTAGGGTGGGCGACGGCTAGCGCACCACACACCTCTCCTTAAAATCCCTGTGTGGTGGCGGCGTGCCGTCCTCCCATCCCTCCCTTGGGTTGTCTCTTTCATTCTCTCTTTCTTTTTGTCAGCCGGTGTGTGTGCCAGTCCGCGCCAGTCCGCGCCCTTGTCGTGCCAGTGTGCTGTGAGAGAGGCGGGTCCAAGAATTCTTTTTGTCAACACGCCGAGTGCCTCCGGTGGCCCCTGGGCCCCGCAATTCGCGAATCTTGCACGTCGAGGCCAGGAGATCTTTCCCGCGATTGCAGGAGCCCGATCCCTGTCGCACAGCGCGCTGGCTCGATCTCTACCATGCTGCTCGCCTCATCCTGGCTCAACCCGCAAGCCACCGACCAGTACAGCTCCACGTTTGAGGTCGTCCCGCTTCGGATTGGACGGCTGGAACAGCCACGCTATGGCGCCGAGCACCTCCTGATTTGCGCCACGCCTGAGCCCGGCGGATCGCTGCTCCCACTCTCGCTGGACTGGGACGACGGACAGCGGCTCGAGCAGGAATTGGAGCGAGGCAGCGCGGTTGGAGCGGGCGGCGGCGGCGGCTTTTTCGGTACCGCGGCCCTGCGAGCTTCGCTCGTCTTGCGGAAGGGAAGCTTCTTCTCCGCCGCCCGTTGCGCCGCCGCCGACCCTCTCGCGGGCGAGGACCTCTCCGCAGTCATGCTGCGCTCGCTGGCCGAGGCGGGGCTCGAGCCGAAGCAGGTTGCGCTGGCGCGCCCCGGCGGCGCAGGCGCAGTGCGATATAGAGACATGAAGGCGAACACGCCGGCCGCGCCGTCGGGCGTGGCGCTGCTGCCTCCCGAGGCGAGGCTGTATTGCCGCGAGGGGAGCGGCCGAACGCGAATCCTTCCCCTCGACGGCGCGGGCGAGGCGGTGGCGCTCGCGCGGAGGGCAGGGATGCCGGTGGAGGTGGCCCACCCTCCTCTCTCCCTCCCTCGGTGGAGGGCGCACAATGTCGTGACAGAGCTTTGCGAGTGTAGGTGTCGAGCGCGTTGTGGGAGGCGCACGCTGTCGCAGAGGTGGCGCTGCCCGAGCTGCGAGCAGAGACGCCCTTGTAGGAGCGGAGCTCTCGTCATCGGCCACAAACCGAATGCGACTACAGGCATGCGTGCGCGATGAAACATACCGCTTTTACTGATTCTGATATACTCAAACATGGGGCTGTTCAATACAAGTTTTCTGCAGAGCAAAAAGGACGTACGCTTTCTAAAGAAGCTTCGAGCCTCGCGCGACAGCGGACAGCGGCGACCCACAGCGCACTTGGTTTTTAAAGTCACGTCATTAAATACAAAATCGCCCGCGCGCTCCCGCGCGCTCAGGGATGTCAGTACCTACGCTGAGGAGTGCGGGACCACCCCGTATGACCTCTTCCGAGCACTTTCTCACCATGAAATCTCTGCATACCCCGCGTCCCACCACAGGGAAGCAGACGGCCGATTCCTCTCTGGCACTCGCGTCGCCCAAACGCGTGTTCACTGGCGCCGGACCGAGCTTGCCACTCCCAGCAATGACACACCGCCAAGGATCGTCCCAATCCGCCGGGGGGCTCGAGCACGGCGCCGTGCGACGTGCAGCTGCAGGCCAGAGGGCGTGAGGTGAGGCCGAATCCGCAGTCGCACGAGCACCGCTGCCCCCAGCGATGATCATGCATGGAGTGGCACGGCGGATAGGCCCGCCTGCGAGCGTGGGAGACAGTCGCGGGGCGTGAGGTCTCAATGTATCGCAGGCTAGGACCGGATACGGCGGCAGCGGGAGAGGGAGGGAGGCGTGAGTGGTGGGCGATGAGGGTGATTTCCCCGATCTCGCTCAAAAAGGCCGTGTCCCCTCCCGGGGGGGCAGGCGAGCACGCACCTCGCGTCCGAGCGCGAGTCGAGGGGCGGGAGCCGAGATATCGCCGAACAACGGTTCGTGGTGCGCACGCACTGCACAGCTGCGGGTTGTAACTCGACTGCCGATCGCGCGTGCGGGATCTGAATGGAGCTCGCTGGCGCCAGTACACGGCAGCACTACCTAGTGCAACGGTGGGAGCGGAGGAGCGCCCTCAACAGACGAACTGAGATCGCTGGACTGGATCCATTGGGTCGCTGTACCCTCTGGAGCAGAGGCGGAAGAGCTCGCGCCACAATTCCGACAGGTGCGAGCCTTTTAGGCGAGCCCACGCGCCTACACCGTCACGTAGTATGCACGCGGCACGCCGCCAAGAAGATAACCGGCAAGAAGAGAACGCCTCACTCCAGCGATGCTCGAACGGCTGAATTCAGCACGCTTCGCTGCACCGCAGAGGCCCTGCCACTCGCCGTGGACGGCTTCGGAGGCGGTGCCAGCGCTCTCAGGCCGGCCGTGACGGACGAACGAGGCAGCCGTACCTCGGCCGTGCGACAACCCCGCCTTGGTGGGCCGCGCGACAGCTGTCGCCTAGCAAAGGAGCTCGATTGGCTGTCGATTGGCGACAAATGTCGGCCTTTTTCGGCTGTGAAGAGAGCCCACCCCACCCCGGAGCTTTGTGGTGGCCCCCAGCCGCACCGGCCGAGGCCGGGCGATGTGTGCGCGTGCTGGGAGTGCCATGGCGACCCACGCATCGATCATCGGGCGTGCTTAGACCGTGATATATAGGTCCCGAGCAGACTTTAAACCAAGTGTCAAGTGTGACAGCACACAGCATGTTCTCGGTACTCGGAGCTCTCCGATAGTTTCCGGATTCCGCTGCGCATCGCGCGTGGCACGTGGGGCTGCCTCGCCTCGGAGGCCGGAGCGCGTGGCGCACTGACGTGTGACACACGGCGGATGGGTGCACGCGTGGGGACGCACACCCAATGTGGAGCTGATGGCAGTCGCTCTCCTCTGCCTCGCCTCCGACCTCAACTCGCGCCCACCTCGATGGTCTTCGCCCGACTGCCACTCTGAGCGCACGCTCGGAAGCTTGCTGCCGCTCCCGCCTCGCCCGGCCCGCCCTCCTCCCCCTCCTCGCCCCCTTCCATGTCCTCCGCGCGGCCGCGCGAGCGCCGCACGAACGAGGGAGCGCCGCGCAGCTTCGGTACTCCCGGCTGAAGCCGAGTCAACCGCACGGGCAACAGCCTGCCACTATTGGCGCGTGGCGGGAGGGCCTGTGAGCGTAGCGGCAGCTTGGGTGCCGTCCGCTCCTCGATGGACAGCAGGTCGGGTGCGCGCGCCTCGCCCCGCGAGAGCGGCCCGGCTGAGGAGACGGCGCGGCGGCGGCGCGTGGCGGTGGTGGAGGGCGTGGTAGAGGGCGTGGCGGACGGCGCCGTAACAGAGGGACGCCCCCTCTCTGCCTCACCCTCCTCCGCAGGCGCGATGCACGAGATCCGCTCCCCCGCCCCGCAAGCAGACACCACGTGCTCGCTCGGGCTGCTGCCCTGCTCCGACGCGGAGCTCCCCGATCCGCGGCAACAACGGCGCCCCTCGGGCAGCCGCCGCCGCTCGGCCAAGCTGCTGCGCGCCTCCGACAGAGGAGCGCGCCGCAGTGTGCGACGCGTCGACGTGCTGGCCTGCCGAGCGCCAACTGTCGCCACCCGTTGCATTGTGGCGCTGTCCTCGCCATCGCCTCCCTCAAGCGGAGAGACTGGTGAGGCCGTGTCGGCGGCGGGGGGGCGTGCATGCCCGCACGCCAAATCCCCACTCGAGGCCCCTGTCGGAGCCACATCCGGGGGGAGAGCGGCGAAGTCGGGCCGATCGCGCGAGCAGTCGATTGCGGACGGTGCCGTAGAGGAGGGAACGGCCGCCGCTGCACACAGGAGTGGTGCGACGGCTGGAGGGCGTCCGTCGGGCCGCATCCGCGGCCTGCCAGCAGGTGCGGGGCGCGTACAGTAGCGAGGCGACGCGCACACTGGAGATGAGACGGGAAAGGGGGCACTCGGCCGAACCGCTCGCTCGTGGCGGCGGTCGGCAAAGCCCACCGTCCGGCGCGAAGGCGATGGGTCGGGTGTGCCCACGCCCGGGGTAGAGCCGCCCAAGGAAGAGGCAAACGACGGCATCGTCTTGCGATACCGCTCGGGCGGGCATCGCTCGTTCCCGGGACTGCACACCGGCTGGCGGCCGGGTCGCTCGAGGTCATCCGGCGGAGCAGAGAGCGGCGGCGGCTCCAAAGCGAAACGCTGCGGCGCGGCGTCGTCGAGATGGTCGCTGGGCGGCTCGACTCGCCGCAGAAAGAGCAGATAGTTGTCGGCTGAAACAATGCTGCGCTCGTCGCCCCGCGGCACCGGCCGCACCGTCGAGTCGTTATACTCGTACCTGAGCCGTGGCATCAACGCGTCATGGACGTGTCAGGAGCCTCACCACAGAAGTTTGCGTTCGCACCAGCGGCCGTCGGAAGCACAACGCGCCATTGCGGTGTAATGCCCCCCCGAGAGCGAGCCAACGTGGTTACAGACGGCGTACAGCTCATACAGCTGTGCCGGCCCGCCACGCTCGCCGCCTCCCGCCGCATGGGCGGCGGCCTGCCCCTCCTCCGCTTGCCCCAAATCCCCCGCCGTCGCCGCGTGGCCCACTAGGTGCGAGAGGTCGATCCGACTGATGTCGGGCACCTGAAAGAGAGCGGACGATGACGGAGTTGTCCAGGGAGGGGGGGCATTTCCTGCTTGGCGGCACGCCTCCACTCGCTCGCTCCGCTTGCGCAGCCGGTCATTGCCGTGGCCGCCTAACGACAGCCCTGCCGCTCACGAGCGCGGGGCTGCGCGGTGGCGCGAGGGCCGCTGGCGACGGCGCCAAAGCGCTTGAGGTGGACGACGAGGTGCGAGGGGAGCTTCCAGATAGAGAGCGTCTTTGTGGCGGGCCGGAAGTCGTTGCAGCAGAAGCAGCGCCACAAGTTGTCGCCGTCGAGCCGCTCCTCACGCATAAACTCGCGCAAGCAACGCTCGAGCGTCAGCACCTCGCCGGCGCCGACTCGCGGCATCGGCAGTGAGAGGTACATGAACGGGTCAAACTTGGTGCGCGTCGCGCCGCAGACGGAGCAGCGCAGCACAGATTTGAGTTGGCCCTGGCGCACGCGGGGGCAAGCTCAAAGGGCTAGAGCCGGATGCGTTGCGGAGCGTGAGCGGGTGCGGCGGCGCACGATGCATGGGGGGTGCAGCTGTGGGCTGTGGGCAGCGCGCCTGAAATGTGTCGATGATGACGGAGCGGTCTCGCAGCAGATGCTTTCCCCACGCCTCGGCGGATGCCTCCTCCATGTCGGCAACGGTGGCGCACTCGCCGCCCTTGCGGTCGAGCTCAACGTCTTCGACATACGGCTTCGCGGCGCGCTGTCGGTTGAGATCCTCGTGCAGGCCTGTGAGACGTGTCGCGAACACGTTAGAAAGACGTGCCCTGTGCAGCGGATGCCAGTGGGGGATCTTGCGGGCCGTCGAGCAGGAAGACTGCGAGCTCCTGCGGCGGGTGGGGTAGGTGGCAGTGGGCGGCAGGCGGGCACGGGCGCGTGCGTTATGGGCGGTGGGTGTGGTGGTCGGTGGCTGGGTGGCGCCGGTTACGTTGCGGCGGCGAGGGTGTGGGGGCAGGTAGAGGCGGCCGGGGGTTACGGGGCAGGTAGAGCCGGCCTGCGCATCGTGCTGACGATACCCCTCAAACTGAGGCGCGAAGCGTGAGAGCGTCGCCTTGAAGGCTGCCGGCTTGTGCGTGCTCGCCTCGCCCACCCACAGACGCTCGAGCAGGGCAGAGTACTCGCGCACGACTGCTCCGCCAGATCCATCCCTCGACGTATCATTCACCTCGTGCATCCACTCGCCGCGGAGGAAGTAGGCGGTGAGGCTGTCGGTGTGGCTCAAGCACTGCAGTGCCGCATTCATGAAGCACGTGTTCCCCACATTGACCAGGCCCACGCGCCCGCCCTTCGCGCTGTGCAAAACGGACGAGGTCCCCGTCATCGCAGCGGAACCGCGCGTTACACTTCACAGCTTGTTATGGGAGTTATGAGAAGAAAAAAAAATCGCAGAATTCTTTAGTGCACGCCAGTCCTGCTCAGGGTTGGGCGAGGGAGTATAAATAAATAAATAGAGCAGTCATCTCCAGGGAGAGATGGGCGACGCACACGAACACAGAGGGAGAGTGAGGACCCCGCCCCGCTCGGAAGGCGTGCATTTCTTGCAGATGAATCATAAATTTTCTTTATGCACGGGCACCGACCGCCAGGCTTCTGCGTCTGTCGGCAACGGGATCTCTATGCTCGCCGCCAACGCGCTCGTCGTCGCGCTCGCCGCTTTACCAGCCGAGGCCTTTGGTCTGAGGCCCGCCGTTGTGGCAGGCCGCCGCGGCGTCATCTCGCAGGGTGCATGCGCCGCTGCCGCTGCCGCCGCCGCAGCCTGCTCGGCGCAGCCGGCGCTTGCCTTCGCCGGCGAGGGCTCCCTGCCCAAGGAGGAGGTTCTCCGTGCGGCGGAGAAGCTGACCGACTTTCAGCGGGCCATCTCTCTGGACGCTGCGACCGAGCGCTCCTTCACGGGCAAGACGGTAAACGGCTACGCGTGGGACGTGAAGGAGAAGGGAACTTGGGTAGGTGCTCTCTCCGGCAAGGCGCTGTTCGAATCTGAGACCAAGTACGACAGCGGCACGGGCTGGCCCTCGTTCTCCGCGCCGGTGCCCGGTGGCGTGATTGAGCGTCTCGACCCAGGCGATCTTGCTGACGCGCGGCGGGCTCTGATGATGGGTGGGATTCGGACGGAGGTGATTGACGCCGCCTCGGGCGCGCATCTTGGGCATGTGTTCAACGACGGCCCCAAGCCGACGGGCAAGCGCTACTGCATGAACGCGGGCGCCATGGCGTTTGTCCCTGCCAAGTGAGGAGGGAGTGAGACCGGGCCGCGGTGCGGGTTCAGGTGGGACCAGGGAGGCCCCGCTCTTTGGGGTCGTGTGATCTGTCTACAGGTACAGCAAATAGGCCATCCCCAATCATGAACCCGTCATGTGACGTGGTGACTGGTGTGTGATCTGTCTACAGCAAATAGGCCATCCCCAATCATGAACCCGTCATGTGACGTGGTGTGATGACGGCGGCGGTTCTCGGTACTCGGAGAGAAACAAATGCTCGCAAATGCTCGCAAATGGTGTATCGATCCGTGTCGCCTCGAGCCTGTCCCGCCGCCGCCACATCATCACCATCGTAAAGTAGCCGCCCGCAAAGAGCACGGCGCGCCGACTTCCCAAGGGTCTAGTTGCGGGCAGGGCAGCTCAGAATTGGGATGCTGCTCTGCTCTGCGCTGAGAGATAGCGCTCTCGCCGCTCGTAGCCAAGGCAGCCGCGCCGGCCGCCTGCATTGAGACTTGATGGCACTCGTAGTTCTGCGGACTACACGTAAGTTTTCTGCACTAAAACTTACGCTCTTCTACCAGTAGCAGTACCACCCGTGTAGAGCCGTGTTGGGCCGTGACCTGACCGTGTTGAAAAGCGTGTTATAGAGCGTGTGGGGCGCGGTTGGGGCGTGTTGGACCGTGCTAGAGCGTGTTTTGGAGCGTTTTGGAGCGTCACGTACAACCGTCACATGTCAAGCAAATTACTTAGAATCAGTCCACAAGCTCGGCTGAGTCGTCAGGCTCGGGCGCAGCATCGTTGCGCACGTTGACGTCGCCCCAGAGCTCTTTGACGCCCCACCGCTCCGCGAGCGTCGTCAGCGAACTGTGCCAGCAGTTCCCTCCGAGCCATTGGATCGACCATCTGGGCCAGTACGAATAGGGTTTGGCCGTCGGGATCCTACTAGCGCATGTCGCATGATGGTAGATGCCAGCTGGGCTACTACATTTTGCAAACTCGATTGCCAGGATGCCCCGGCTGCGGTCAAGCGCCGCAGAGTCGGCCTTCGTCCGCGCGGATAATGCGTCAGCACTGGACTCGTTCGTTGCGCCATCCAGAATGCCCTCTTCGCAGCATCGCCAGAAGCACTGCTTGATCGCGCCCGGTTCCCTGCACGTGCGCAAGATGCACGGACGGCCAGTCACCCACTCCTCGAATGCGTCGGCGAACACTGCCTGATCCCACGCAACGTTGCCAGCAACGTAGACCCCGGACTCTCGGATGGCGACGAACGCCCTGTGTATTTCCTCCACGCGCGTGGCGGCCGAGCTCAGCAGGCCCAGGTCGGGCGAGGCTGTCCGGCCATCGGCGTAGACGGTGCCGAGGTTGAACGAGTTGAAATCGCTGGCGTGCAGAATCAGAGCACGATTTTGGCGCTGCAGCCAGGTGAACGGGTTGTCCGTGAAGCACACATCCGAGTCGACCATCAGCACCTGATAGCGCAGACGGGCAAGCTCCGCGAGCGTCCAGAGACGGTTTCGAAGAAAGTCGTGCGCGGTCCATGCGCAATGACGAACTGGCACGGCGGTCTGCCTTGAGACGAGGCGACACTCACGTTGCGAGCTCGTAATGTGCAGAACACCGTCGAACCCCTGCGCCCGTAGTAAGGCGATGGCGTTCAGCCCTGTCAGTGCCCACTTCAGGCTATTTGTCGTGACCAGCACGATCCGACCAGCGTCGTGTGCGCGAGCAGCAGCTGTCGCCAGGGTGGCCACGCTGTCGATGAGCAGGCATTTCGTTGAGGCACGGCGTGGTGAGGCGCTCGGGGGCTCGACACTCGGTGGCTCGACTCCCTTGACGGTCCCAAACATGCTCGGAGTTGGAGGCACATGTTTTAGCAGTTGTTGGAGGCACATGTTTTAGCAGAGCATGCTCGACCCTGGAATTTCACGTTTTGCTCAAATCCTGTCAGTTGCCCCGCCACGGTGGTGTGCGCCGCCCCACGACCTCCAGCAAGCATGGGACGAAGGGATCAATCACCGATACTTCGCCGACGGTGTTGGCCGCTGCTCGACCCGCTGTGCCGCTGTGGCAAGGGCTCAACCTGTGTCACCCGGAATCCATACTGTCACTCTTATGGATTTGAAATGTCAAATTTTCAGACAATTTGCCTGCAAACTTGTCAATTTTGCGAGCAAATCAGATGCAAACATCACCGCGTGTGCCCCCGCCGGCGTGGGAGTGGCCGCACCACGTGCTGGGTGCGCCGTGTGCAACTCCCGTGACCACGATGCCCCGCGCTGGGGCGGTTAGCTCGGTTGACGACAGAACATGTTCACATTCGCACGTGGTTGACGTGGAGTGTGTGCGTGTAGCACTCTAAGGATGTAGAATGACGCCTCAGGGGCAGGCTGTAGCATGTGCTCCATAGCCTGAGAGGTCGTGTGGGGCGAGGCACACAACATGTACATGTCCTCGGGGTGTTCTGGCCCAAGTTCAAAGTTTATCGACAAAATTTTCAGAATTGGATTGTCGACGTGAACGGCAGGCTCGAACGTGCTCGAAGAGACCGACTGAACGCATTGTTCAGATCTTTCGGCTCGAGTGGGGTTGTGCTCGCACATAGGTGGTGACTGGCATATAGAGTGCACGATTTGTCCATGGCAGCGCACACGTTGGAGGTGCAATGGCGGTCGACGCTGTCATGCCGATGGTGGTGTCGGCCTCGGCGATGCAGTAGTCGAGGCCGTACTGGCCGGTGGAGAAGCCATAACCGATAGCGGTCCCGCCATAGGCGTATGCCATAGCTCTCGCATAGGAGCAGGAGCAAAGACAGGGGCCGCATCGCGACGAAGAGTGCTGTATACGATTTACCAAAAACCGAAACCGAAACACGAATCTCCAAACCAAAAAGGGATGAAATCCCTTTTATGGATATAATCGCCCAATTATCTCCGAAATATAGTGTGAATGCCCGGGAACACGGGGCTATACTCAATAGCAGAACTGCTGTAACCAATGAAACCATCCTCGCCTCTCCCCTAGCTCTCCCCACAGCACACTCCTCCACAGTAGAACACATGAGGCTTGCGTCCGAGAGAGGACCGGTTGGAACGCGCCTGGAACGCGCAGGCCTGGTGGGGGCCTGGTGGGGGCCTAGGCATCCAGCCTGTTGTTCGCAGCGATCTGCATGGCAGCAAAGCTGCCATCAGCGGGGGCAGCCGCGGCAGCCGCGGCAGCGGCACCCTCCCACGGCGCCTCCCCTGCCGACGCCGCCGCCGTCGCCGCCAGCGCCGCTTCGGCGGGCTCGACGGCGGCTGGCCCGGCGGCGAGGGAGGGGGGGGGGGGGTAGGGGGGGGTTATAAAGTTTTGGAGTCAGATTTAAGCAAGAATAGAGCCGCTGGCAGGCCGCCGGCTGGATATGAGCGGTGTCGAGTGGTTCGAGCGGTGTCGAGGGGTGTCGAGGGGTGTCGAGGTGTGTCGAGGTGTCGAGTTTGGCACCTTGACACGGACACGAGCATGGTTTCCGCCTAGATGGTGTCGAGGGGTGTCGAGGGGTGTCGAGTTGGTCGAGTTGGAGTCGAGTTGGCACATGGGCGGTCGAGGTGTCTCGAGTCGGTGTCGAGGTTTGGTGATGGTGTAGAGAGAGCGAGGCCCCGCTGTATATCGAGGCCAGGGCTCAGACTCTGAGACGACGGCCAGCGCGCGGGGGGGGCTTGCCCTCTCCTGACATCTAGTTTCCTGCCACCACTAGCACCACGGCACCAATCATCCACCCGGCTCCCCGCACGTGTACCTCGCACGCACAGCCCACACGCACGCACAACAGCCTGGCCTCCTCAGTCCTCTTCGTATAGCCCGGCTCCTCCCCCAGCCAGTGGATCCCCCCCCCCCACCCCCTCGCCGCCGCGCGACGAAACGGAACTCGCCTGCGCAAACGTGCCCCGTTTCGGCCGTACCGCACCGGCCGTCACTGCGGCGAGGGCGCGAAAGGGACGTATGGCGTCGCGTCGTTTGCCGAGTCGTCCGCAGCCGCGTCTGGCGAGCCGTACTCGGTGGAGCGCCCAGACGGCTCCTCCGTGCCCGGCGGCGTGCCCCACTCCGTCGAACGGCCGGACGGCTCTCCTCCGTCTGCCGCGCACCTACAGAGGCAAGAAAGACGCGTCTCGCAACAAGAAAGAGCGGACGGCTCTCCTCCGTCTGCCGCGCACAGAGGCGGGATCGGAGGGCACTCGCCTCCCGGCGGCGGGGTCGGCGCTCTCGCATAGGCGCCGAGGCCGAACTCGGTGAGGGAGCGAGTCACCGTCGGCGCGCCGCCCTCGCCGCCGAAGCCGCCCTGCGCGTCGCGCGGCGGCGACAGGGCAGACACCAGGTTTGCGCCTAGTCCCGGGCACTCTCGCGTGAACTCGGGCGGTAGTGTCGCGGGTGCGCGCGGCGCCGGTCCCGCGCCGATCGACTGCAGTCGAGCGATCAGGGAGGCCACGCGGGCCTCTGACGGGGTGGCAACCTGCGGAGAGCAAGGAGAGGAGGGGATGAGGAGGGGGAGGGAGGGAGGGGTGGGGGGGGTAGAGGGGTGGCCGCCGCCGCCTGGCCGCCGCAGCCGGCAGCGCCATCCTCCGCCGCGCCGCCAGAGGGAGCGAACGGCTCGTAGGTCGCCTCAGCGGTGGCGTCGCTCTCGACGATCCCGCCGCCCGCGACTCCGCCTTGCTCTCCGCCGCCGTCGCCGCCCCCGGCGGCGGAGTCTTCGGTGTCGCCTCCTCGGTCGCCTCCTCGGTCGGGGCTGCAGCCGCCTCCGTCGGCGAGGGCGCGGTCGCCGTCTCCTCCGAAGCCGTCCGACAGCTCGTGTGCGTCCCGGATGGCGAGCGCCTGTTCACGGCTAGAGGTGTGAAGAGACGCTGCGCACAGCTCGTGTGTGCGTCCCGGATGGCGAGCGCCAGCTGGGCGAGCATCCGGTTGGGCTGCAGCCGCGCCCCGACCTCCTGCAGCGCCGCCGCCACCCGCTCCTTGGTGCGCGGAGTCAGCGCCTCGCCCGCCTCGTCGTCGCCCGCCGGCACCACCGCCCCGTCGAAGGCGAGGACTCCGTCAGCAGCGAGGGCCCCCGCCGCCGCCGGCTGCAGCAGCGACGAGGGCGACGCCGCCAAGCGCGGCTCGGGCGAGCGCGGCGGCGAGGCCGGCGGCGGCGGCGAGGCGGCGCCGCCGAGGCGGAGGGCGAAGTGCTCGACCTGCGGCCCCGGCGGGGTCGAGTGGTGGCGCTCTTGCGGGAGAGTCGGGTGACGCCACCCGTTCCCGTCCTGGCAGTGCGCCAGGTGGCGCGCCGTCGCGAGCGCCGCCGCCGCCTCGTGGCGCCTCACGCCCCCCGCCGCGATCACGGCCGGCGCTCCGCCGCCCTCCCCCGCCAGCGCGTCGAGCGGAGAGTTGCGGGGCGGCGGCGGCGGCGGCGGCGGCGAGGAGGCGGACGAGGAGCGGCGCGGAGGCGGCATGTTGAGGACTCGCATCTCCTCCGAGCGACACGAGTCGGTGAGGGCGGTGTCATTCGCCCCGCCCCTCCCGCCCTTCTCGCCGCCCGCCGGAGAGGGCGAGCGGGATGCGCCGTCGGCAGCAGAGCGCCCCGTCGCCCCGTCGGCGGTTGGCGCCTGCTCCTCCCCAAGCCGCGCCTCCTCCTCCTCCTGCTTCTGTTCCCGCTGCGCCTCCTCCTGCTTCTGTCCCCGCCGCGCCTCCCCCGCCGCCTCCCGCTCCTCCTGATCCTCCCTCGCCGCCCTCGCCCTCGCCCCCGCCCCCGCCGCCGCCGCCGCCTCCCCCTCCTGCCCCCCCGCCCTCCCAGCCCGCCGGATCGCGTCGAGCTCCGCCTCTCGCTCGGCGCGGGCGTTGCGCGCCCACGAGGCGTCTGCCATGGCGCTCTGCGCCTGCTCGTCGGCCGCGCACCGCGATGCGCACGCGTCGCAGAGGCAGACGGCGCGCCGCTTGCCCGTGTTGAGGCACCGGCCCGCATCGTACCAAGCCGCGCCATTCGCCGGCGTGTCCGACACCCCCCGACCCGCCGCTGAGGAGACCGCGGCGCGGCCCGCCTGCGGCGGCTGCGGCGAGGGGCCGTTCGCGCCGCCGTCCGTGGCGACGTCCGTGGCGACGCCCGTCTCGGAGGAGCGGCCCGCGCCGCTCTCCACGCCTGCGCCGCTCTCCACGCCGCCGCCGCTCTCCACGCCGCCGCCGCTCTCCACGCCTGCGCCGCTCTCCACGCCTGCGCCGCTCTCCACGCCTGCGCCGCTCTCCACGCCTGCGCCGGCCTCGCCGCCCGAGGACAGGGAGGACAGGGAGGACAGGGAGCGCCGCGCCTGCCCGCCGCCGCCCCGCCCGAGCAGAGGAGAGCCGCGCGGCGAGGCGACCTTCCAGGACCCTTCCGGGACCCTTCCGGGACCCTTCCCCAGAGGAGAGCCGCGCGGAGAGGCGGGCTGCTGCAGACTCGCGCCGAGGGTCTCTCGCAGCCCCGCGAGCCTCTCGAGCCGACCCGCAGCCTCCTCCGCCTCCTCCGCCTCCTTCGCCTTGCGCGCAGCCTGCGCCCGCCGGAGCGCGCTCTCCGCAGGCCGGCGAGGCGCGGCCGCGAGTTCGGACTGCTGCTGCTGCTGCTGCTGCTGCTGCTGCTGCTGCTGCTGCTGCTGCTGCTGCTGCTGCTGCTGCTGCTGCTGCTGCTGCTGCTGCTGCTGCTGCCGCTGCTGCTGCTGCTGCTGCTGCTGCTGCTGCTGCTGCTGCTGCTGCTGCTGCTGCTGCTGCTGCTGCCGCTGCTGCCGCTGCTGCTGCCGCTGCCGCTGCTGCTGCTGCTGCTGCCGCTGCTGCTGCTGTGCCTCCGCCTGCGCCTCCGCCCTCGCTCTCTCCGCCTCGGCGGCAGCAGCAGCCTCCTCGGCGGCGGCGGCGGCGACGGCGTCGGCACGAGCGGCCGCCGCGGCGGCTGCCTGCTGCGCCCGCCGCGCCTCTGCCTCGGCAGCCCTCGCCTGTTCACAGCTAGAGGTGTGAAGAGACGCTGTTCACGGCTCGAGTGCCTCCGCCTCGGCAGCCCTGCCTGGGGGGGAGGGGGGGGGGGAGGGGGGGGAGAGGCTTCGAGAAGGGTCAGGGGAGCGGTGCCTCGAGCCCGCCGCACCTCTCTCGTCGGGCGAGTCTCGCGCCGCCGCCTCCGCCTCGTCGGCTATATCACGGCTACATCACGGCTACATCACGGCTATCTCTCTCGGCTATCTCTCGGCTATCTCTCGGCTATCTCTCGGCTACTCTCTCGCGCCTTCGCCTCGGCCTTATCGGCTCGCCGGCTCTCCTGCGCGACGCGCGCCTCCAAGCTCGCCGCGCGCGCCGTGCCTCGCTCCTCCGCCTCGCCCACCGCCGCCTCCGCCGCCGCCGCCGCCGCCTGCGCCGCGCATAGCGCAAGCCCCGCCTCCGCCGCCGCCGCCTCCGCCGCCGCCGCCTCCGCCGCCGCCGCCTCCGCGCCCGCGCGCTCGACCGCCGCCCTCGCCTCCGCCGCCACGCCGTCCGCCGCCTCCTCCGCGGCTCGCACCAAGCTCGCCGCCTCGCTGGCTGCCCGCGCCGCCGCCGCCTCCGCCACCCTCACCTCCTCCCTAGCGCGGCTCACAGCGCCCTCTGCCCGCGCCTCCGCCTCTGCCTCCCTCGCTGCCCCGTCGCTCGCCCGCCGATCTGCCGCGCGCCGCACCGCCGCCACATCCTCGCGCGCCGCGTCGAGCGCCTCCTCGGCCGCCTCCGCGCGCACGCTGCTCGCCAACTGCCTCTCCCGCTCCCGTGCCAACTCGTCGCACGCCGCCGCCGCCCGCGCCTCCGCCGCCGCCGCCCGCGCCTCCGCCGCCGCCGCCCGCGCCTCCGCCGCCGCCGCCGCCTTCCCCCGCCGCCTCGCCGCGAGCAGTGCGCACACAGCCACGGCCGCCGCCGCCGCCCCCGCCGCCGCCGCCGCCGCCTCGCCGTCTGCCGGACAGGGGCAGGGCGGCAACTCTTCGGCCGACGGCGCTGCGAGCCCCGGTGCAGGCTTCGCTGCGGCTGAGGGGCCGCCGGGCGCTGGGCCGAGGGAGCCGTTGCCGCCACCGCAGCTGCTGCCGTCGGCGGTGGGCAGCCGGGCCTCGCAGGCGGTGAGCTGGAGCGTCGCCATCTCCGCCGCCGCCGCACACTCCTCCGAGGAGCGCAGCGCCGCTGCCCTCGCCCCAGCCTCCGCCGCCGCCGCTCGCTGATCTGCCGCCGCCGCGCGGGCGTTCGCGGCCAGCAGCGCCTCTCCGGCGGCTGTCGCCTGGGCCCCCGCGGCCACCTCCGCCCGGACCGACTTTGAGGCCGCTGCAGCCCAACCCACGACAGCGACAGCGCCGGCGGCGCGGAAGGCGCTCCGCTGACGGCGCTGGTGGCTGGAGGCGGCAGTACTGTTGGCCACGCACCCACGCCACGCCGCGCGAGACGCCGCCTCGCGAGCCGCAAACAGGACACTGACTGCAGCGGGCTCCGGGGCCGTGAGCTGCGCTGGAGTCGGAGGCGTCGGAGGCGAAAACGGTGCGAGCGCGTGCGGTGGGCCGTGGTGCATCAGGGTACCGCCGCCGGTCATCAGCGCGATGCCGAGCATGCCGAGACGAGCGATGGCGGCGTCGGCGGCGGTGTTCGGAGGAGGCATCCGGAAAGCGAAGCAGCGGCGGTCAGTCGAACCGGTCAGTCGAACCGCGAATATCACCTTTTCATTTTTTTCTCGAGCCAACAAGCAAGGAGCCGGAACCTACCTACCTAAGGAACCTGTCCGAGGAGGCCAACAAAAGCGCATGTCTTGAAGGTCCGATACTGGAAGCCCATATAGGCACCTTATCGTACGCCACCGCAGTATCGCACCTCTCTCTTGAGCGACACTACGTTTCCGCAGCTGGGGATTCTCCGTCCGGGTACCCCTCTTTGTATCGAGATACAGAGATGGGTCAGAACTTCAGCGCAGATTCAGTGACCGTCATAGCGGCGGCGGCGCGCGGCGGTTGCAATCGTGCGCACGGCCCGCCACGACGCACTCGCTAAAACCCCACAGCGCCGCCCCAAACGCCTCGTCGGTTGCCATTGGGTGGCGCGGCTCCCACGGCGTCGCGACCGGCACGAAGAGCCGCCCGTTCCCTCCCGGCGAGTCGGCCCGCCCCGCCAGCTCGGGCGCCACCGCCGGGAAGAGAACCGTGAGCGCCGCCTGCTCGGTCGAGTAGGCGAAGAGCCCGTTCCGCGCCTGCGCCAGCTGCCAGGCGAGGCCACCTGTGACTTCCTGTGACGCGAGGCACTCCCGGGGACGGCTCAGACACTCGACTCAGACACGCGCCCGCCGCCTCTTCGAAATCGCCAGGCCGGCGGGGAGGCTGCCGAGCCGCGGAGCCATACGAACCTCGGCCATCTCTCGGCCATCTCTCGGCCATCTCTCGGCCATCTCTCGGCCATCTCTCGGCGGGGAGGCTGCCGAGCCGCCGCCCAAGCATCGCCTCGAAGTTGCCGCGCCGGAGCATGTCGCTTGCCACGACGCCCGGGTGGACCTATATCTCGGGTGCATCTCGGGTGTATCTCGGGTACATATCTCGCTCGCCGCGACGCCCCGGAGTGGACCGCAGACGAGAGCAGCGCCCCGCCCTGCCGCCGCGCCAGCTCGGCCGCGAAGGCCAGGTTTGCGAGCTCGGCCATCCCGTACCTGTGGGACATGTCAGGGAAGTGTCGTGGACATGTCCAGCGCCAGGACAGGCTCGCGAGCTTGGCCATCCCGTACCTGCACACACACACACACACACACACACACACACACACACACACACACACACACACACACACACACACACACACACACACACACACACACACACACACACACACACACACACACACACACACACACACACGGTGTCCTCCAACCTGCGCCGCGCTCGGCGAACCTCGACAGCGCCTCCGGTGGCATGCAGCTCTTTGCGACAGAAGCCTGGAGAGCAGCTCCTCTGCTGCTCACACGCTCTGCACAGTTGGCACAGCCTACTGTGCGGCTGCCACAGCTGTTTCACAGCGATGGGCTCGCCCTCACTGGCCCTCAGTCACTTGTGCTGCGGCTTGTGTGAGCGACACTGCTCGGCGACTGCCGGCACACTGTGAGACCATGGGTGTGAGGTAAAACCACGCCACCAGCGCTTGGTCACATCGGCCCCGAGGTCAGATCCTTCTATTCGGTTGATGACAAGACTTGTCTACTCGCTGGAGCCGAGCAGGAGGGCCCGGCGCACAACCCCTGGTCAACTCACCCTCCACCGACCCCGATGTGTAATCGTGCCGCCTATGCGCTATGGGCGTTGTCACTTGTCTCGTTCGGCGAGCGCTGGAATGCGGTTTTTGACATAATAAAAAAGAAAATCACCGCCGGCCGTCCAAGGTCCAAGGTCCAGAGAGAGAGATTTTTAGCAATACCAAACAAATCTAACACTCACACGTCATTTGGGGCCTGGAGCCCTGTTCACGCGCGCGCGAGACGTGCAGACAGGGTTGCCAGGTGAGAGCGAATGGCGCGGTTCACGCCTCGCACAACAGAGAGAGAGATGCGCTCTGCATGGTGGGACATAAAAGAGAGCGAGTACTTGGGCGAGTAGGCCGTGCGGTCGACGCTGCCGCGCGCGACTTTGCGCGCGAGGCGGCGCAGCTTGAGAACGGCGGTGGGCGAGAAGCCGCCGCCGAAGTTTGTTTGTTAAGGTCCAAGGAAACCCCACAGCGCCCCTCCTTATTAAAATGACCAAGAAGGCGGCTCGGGTTTTTAAATAGCCGTATATCGAGCCAGGGCCGTGGCCACTAGGAAGGCGCGCCATATGAACACGCGTGAAAACCGTGCCGGATATGCGCGCGGGCCGCGGGCGCGGGCGGCAGCGCGGCACATCAAGGGCCACGACCGCTCTGCCGACCCGCGACCGCCCTCCCGCTCCCTCGCTGGGGCAAGCTGGCGAGGCACTCCCTGGCCGACACTCCCCGAGCATATACCCCCCCCCCCCACGCCAACAGACGCACGTAGTTCCCTCTACTCGCGTGGCTGGGCACGCTGGCCGCAGACTTGGCGGCGGCGGCTATGCGGCGCAGAGGTAGCCGGGGGGGTAGTTCCCCGTCTCGGCGCCAATCTCCTTCATAAAGGGCCCCAAGATGTTGAGGATCTCCTTGACCACGGGCAGCATCTCCGTGATCGCGCTCATCGCCTCCTCCTCCTCATCCGCGAGCAGGCCGACAAACTTCTCCTTTGAAGGCGCCGCGTTGGAGGCGGCTGCAAAGACGCCTTTCACGACGAAGCCGTGGTGCTGCTTGATGGAGGCCGCGTACCCCGCATCCACCGCCGTCTTCAGCTTCGGCTCCGTCTGCAGCGTCTCGAGCAGCACGCAGATAAAGATGAGCGCGCGCTGCAGCCACAACATCGAGACGCAGACGTTCTGTACGGGCTTGCCCTTATCGTCAAGGGGCGCATCCTTGAACTCGTGCCCCTTGAGGAGCTTCTTGAGGTCCGCCTGCTCGAGCTCCTTTTTGATCAGCTCCTGCACCGATGCGCCCGGGTTCGCCTCCGCCTGCCTCTTCAGCACGTCGGCGTTGCCCATCATGTCGCTCTTTGCGATGCCCATGCCTTTGATCAGGTCAAAGATCTGCGGCGGAGGGGAGGAGCGGACGCGTATGGGACGCGGTACGGAGTGCGGCGGGCGGCGGGCGACCGGGCGGCGGCGGCACCGAGATGAGCGCGATGGCCGCATCGGCCAGCTCTGCAGCCGGGACGGAGCTGTCTCCACACGCGCGGCGGCAGGCATTGAACTTCTCGCTCACACAAGACTCCACCTATGGGCGTTGCGCCGGGCGCAGGTGGGGCGGTGCGGGCGGCGAAGGCGTGGCGCGGGGAGGACGGCGCACCAGCCACTGCCCCATTTTGTGACGTAAGAGTTGTTCGGCGAGACGGGCTCGTGCGGCGCCTAGTCCTTACCTTGAAAAAAAAAACGCGCGGCCGCAAGCGCGGCGTGGCGTGTGTGTGTGTGTGTGTGTGTGTGTGTGTGTGTGTGTGTGTGTGTGTGTGTGTGTGTGTGTGTGTGTGTGTGTGTGTGTGTGTGTGTGTGTGTGTGTGTGTGTGTGTGTGTGTTCATGGAGGCAACCGATGCGAGTCGACTGGTGTGTGTCGTCGTGGTTTCGCATCAAGAATACTCACTCACACACGTGGCGTGGGGCGGTTGAGCATTCCTCCGGGGGCCCCTCTGCGCCGGGGAGGCGTTGTTGGAGGCTAGGACGGAAGTTTTTTCAAACTCGGGGCCCACTCCGCTACGCTCCGACCCGAATTTGGAGGGCCATGAAATTTAAGGTGTTGCTGCGCAAAACCAAAAGGGCGGGGCGCGGGCGCGCGCGGCAGACCGAGAGTTCTTTTTGGAGATCAGACCTTTCGGTGGTTCATGCTTTCTAATTCTATCTATCATGCTTCATGACACGACACGCGGTGGTGGTACCGCGTCGGCGACGCGGGCGCCTTGGCCCTTGCGGACATCCCTTGGGGTGCCTGTTTTCTTTCTTTCTTTCTTGGGGACCCTGTCCTTCTCCCACCCCGTTGCGTCGCGCAGTTCGCAGCACGGGCGAGCTCGTCTGCTATCGGAAGCAAGGAAGAGCGCTGCGATGCCGATACACTCGCACTCGCCAGCCTGGGGCCCTGGGCTCGCTCGCTCGCTCGGCGGCTTTCCGTTCATTCATTCAAAAGCAACAACCATCCTTTTCTTGCTATCTCTCTATTTCGCCACCGCCCCTGTGGAGACTGTATGTGCATGCATGTAGACTCCTGTGGCGACCCTCTTGGCCTTTCCAAGGGTTTCCTCTCGCACCCTACCTGGTTTCCTTTTCGTGTTTCCTGCTTGTTTCCCTACAACACCCTCTCTCTAGTTTCCTGGGGAAACTCCACGGAAACCATCCACTTTCCCGGGCTCTGAGCCGAGTCTGAGGCTGTTTTGGGGCCAAAATCAGCAAAATCGGCAAAATACCGGTTATTTTGCCTACCTGACAAACCCCGGGTATACCTGGAAATACCGGGTATCGTGCCGATTTCATCCTCAATGTTGCCTCACTCAGATTTTGCCCCAGAACAGCTCTCAGACTCAAAGCAACTCGCGAGTTTCCCGAGGGAAACTCGAGAGAAACAGAATGGAGCACCAAACACCCTCTGGTTTCCCTGGAAACTTCCGGAAACGCAAAGTGCTGGGGACCCTCTGGTTTCCCTCTGGGTTGCCGGAACCCTTCTTGGTTGGAAAGGCCAAGGAAGGCGACCCCCCCCCCCCCCCAGCAGATGTGCGACGCCAAAACTATTTTTACGCTTGCCAGCACGAGCTCGTCAATCACTTCCGGCTTGGCTGCTCCGGCCCTACTAAATGTGACGTCACGGAAGCCGCTTTCATTTGTTTGGGGCAATTCGAGCTTTACATTGTACCAACCTCCGCGTCTCTAGCAATGCAAGCTTTCGATGACGAGTCCCGGCCGCTTTCTGAGCGCGCACCTGCTGCCGAGCCTGCCGAGCCTGCCGCGCCACAGGCGCCGGCGGCTGGGCTTGGCGGCCATGGTGGCGCCCGCTCGTGGGGCCATGAGGAGTTTGCCGAGGCCGCAAAGACGAGGAATGGCCTGATTGCAATTGAGCTGGGCAAACGGCCTGCGGTGGCTTGCGCGAACTGCGCCCGGGGCGACGCCTGCTTGCGGCACAGAAAGATGCCAGCAATGCCGCAAACTCGGGACGACGCCTCCAGGCCCGCCCTGTGGTGTTGACACAAGAGCACGGCCCCGTCGCGGATCGTCATGCCGCCGGACGCGTGTCAGGAGCCCCGCCTCTGCCCTCTCACCTGCCGTTCCTCGCCGCCTCCACCAATTCATGCCGCATTCGGCCCGGTGCTGAGCCGCGCGCTGCGCCGGCGGCCTGCGCGCTGCGCCGCGGCTCCGCCACACGGGCACGCGCTCGTACCAATGCGACCAGTTCTCGCACACACGGTCGTGCTTACGGGTTGTCTCCTCCCAGTTAATTATTTTGCATGAAAGAAAAGCCTGCAACATTTTCGCATTTCGGCATGTCCCCGCCGGCAGGGCGGCGGAGGTGGCTGCGCTTACCGCGATCACAAGCCATAGGCCCAGCCTGCCAGAAGCGAGTGCCGCCGCCGCAGCAGATCCTCTCAGCCGACCATCTCGTCGACAAGCCACTGCGCGCCGTCGTACTGGCCGACGAGCAGCAGGATGTACCGCACGTCGGTGCCTGCGAGGGCATGTCGCGGACATGTCGTGCGGCGGGTCCGACGGGCGGCGGGGAGAGTGCCGCCGCTCGGCGCACCGATCGAGCGGGAGTACTCCGCGCTCCACTTGAACTCGTTCATCAGCCCGAGCCGCTGGCGGTCAAAGTTGATGGCGACGAAGTCGCCGTTGGCGTCGAGCACGGGCGAGCCGCTGTTGCCTCCGACCGTGTCGGTCGAGTAGCACACGCAGCACGGCGTCGCCGCCACGGCCGTGTCTGCGGCGCAGAGGTCCACCAGCCGCTGCGGGCAGTCGAAGTCTCCGCCCTCGCCCTTGACCAGGTCGGCAACCGCCTCGCCCGCGCCGCTGAGCTTGGCCTCAAGGTGCTTGTCCACCAGCCCGCCTGCGGGGGACGCGTCCACGACACCTCCACGACACCTCCACGACACCTCCACGACACACTCCCGAGGCCGCCGCCCGCAGAGTGTGCTGGGTGCAAGGCTGTCTCTCGGCTACACCTCGGCTACACCCCGTCCAAACCTCGGCTACAACCTCGGCCAAACTCTCGGCTAGACTCTCGGCTAGACTCTCGGCTAGAGCCCGCCGAGCGTGGTCACGGGCGTGTGCTGCACCGCGTCCGCGGCAGAGTACCCCTCCACGTGGCCGGCCGAGAGGCGGAGGCAGCCGTTCGCGTCGGGGAAAAAGGCCTTCGCGGGGGGGTTCCAAGAAGGCTCAGGTCTCCGCCGCCCGTCCGTAATGTGGAGCCAGGCGGGTGAGGAGGGCCCTGCAACCGGCCCACCGATGAATTGCTCATCAGTTAGAGCAGCTCCGAGAGCAGCGTCTGAAGGGCGAACCGCCGGTGGGCAGGGCCGGTGGGCAGCTCGCACGTCACGGCCAGACACCAGGCGCGCGCGGGGGGCAGGGCGGGGCGGGGGGGGGGGGGGGGGGGGGGCCAAAAAAAACAACCCCTTGGTTGCGTCGCGGTCGGCCACGTACGCCGGGTAGAGCGCCGCCGCCGCCGCAACCGCCGCGTCGCGACGGCACACAGCCTCCGCCGCTCCGCCGTCGCCCTTGCCGCCCTCGCCGCCCTCGCCGCCCTCGCCGCCCTCGCCAGCCAGCAGCGGCTGGACGAGGTCTCCGCCCCCGGAGAGAAGCTTCTCGAGGTCGTCGGCCTACGCCAGCCATTGAGATGTATCTCCCCACCTCTCCCCATCTCTCCCCATCTCTCCCCATCTCTCGAGGTCGTCGGCTTACGTCAGCCATTGAGCCCTCCGTGACACGCTAATCGCGGCTAATCCGTCCAGCGCATTCACTGCCGTCCGAGGATCTGTGCGCGTGCAGAAAGAAATCGTGCCGAGAAGCCGCCGTCGAGGAAAGAATAATAAGGGTGGGCGACGGCTAGCGCACCACACCCCTCTCCTTAAATCCCGGTGTGGTGGCGGCGTGCCTCCTCCCATCCCTCCCTTGGATGTCCGTTTTCTTTCTTGCTTTCTTTCTTTTAGGAAAGAATAATAGAGAGATTTTTAGCAATGGGGTTGTTGTTTGTTGAATAATAGAGCCGCGTGGACGAAACTGCCTCGCCAGTGAGGAGTGCGAGACATCACAATAACACAGTGAGGGAGGGAGTACAAGACGTGGGGAGTGGGTGGGCGCCGGAGTGGGAGTGGTGTGACTGCTCCTGTGGTGCGGGCGACGGCTTCCTCGACGGCTTCTGAGGAAGCCGTCGCCCGCGCCTTGCCTGTCGTGTTGTGCGCGCGATGCGTGAAATTCTTCTTCCCTGTGCTAGTTCGTGCGAGCCCTGATCGTAGAATTCTTCCTCCAGAAGCGAACACTGTGTGCCGCGGGCCAAACTCCTAAACTGCGCGCCCCGTACCTTCGCCGAAGGTTTCCCCGCAGCACATGCGGCCGGTTAGGGACGACGACAGACTAGAGCGGCCCTTCGACTATGACGCCGCGCTGGACGCTCTCGACTGCGACGACGCCGGGGAACCCTCTCCAGACCCGCCGCCGGCGAATGCTGCGGCTTGGTACGATGCGGGCCGGTGCCGCAACACGGGCAAGCGGCGCGCCGTCTGCCTCTGCGACGCGTGCGCATCGCGGTGCGCGGCCGACGAGCAGGCGCAGAGCGCCAGGGCAGACGCCTCGTGGGCGCGCAACGCCCGCGCCGAGCGAGAGGCGGAGCTCGACGCGATCCGGCGGGCTGGGAAGCCGGCTGTGAGCTGGGCAGCGGCGGCGGAAGGCGACGACGACGACGGGTCGTGCTACGGGCCCCGCTCTTCGGTCGCGTCGTACGACCGTTCTTCCTGCGACTCGCTGCAGTACGAGGAGGAGGGTGGCGACGCCGGGGAGGGGTGTGGAGCGTCGGAGCGAGGCTCGAGCTCGGCGGAGAGGGTGGTATTCGCGGTGCCGGGACCCGCGCGGGGAGGGCGGGTCTCCGTCCGCGATCCGAGCGATGATGTCTTGGACGCGTCCCCGCCGCCGCGGATGCGCCGCGCGCTCTCCTCCTCCGCCGCCGAAGACGATATCCGCTGCTTTGCAGACGCGCTGTCGTGCCTCACGGCGCCGCTGCGGCTGCTCCTCGCCGCCGCCGCCTGCCTCCTCTCCCTCCTCTCCCTCCTCCTCGCCCTCCTCCGGTGCGGGCTGCCCGGCATCTGCGGCCTTTTCGGCGGCGGGCGGCGCAGAGGCGGAGGGGCGAGGCAGCTTGCACCGCTAGAGGAGCCAGACGCGCCGCTCGAGGAGCCGCCGGGCAGCTGCAAGGCCTGCGGCGGGCGCGCCGGCAGCAAGCCGCCCGCGCGGGCGGTCAGCGGCGAGGTTGCACCGGCGGCGGAGTGGAACCGCGCCCGTCCGGCATCGCTGCGCGCCTCCTAGAGGGTTTCAGAGGAGAGGGTTTGGGCCTCCGGGCAGCGCCAAACCCGTTCCGTGGATCCGAGCGCCCCGAGGCTGAGCTGTTCCGACCCGGCGGGGGCGCCGCCAGCGGACGTCCCATTATTTCGAGCTACTGTTTGTGGTATGTTGTTGTGTGGCTCAGCTTGTTTATGTGCCGCTGTATGCGTGTGCGAGTGAGGCGGCGGGGAGAGGGGGAGAGAGCAGCGCGCCCGCGCTTTCTCCTGCGACCTGCCAAGCGCCGAGACGTTGACATATTTGTACGCGTTGTTGGATGTTGCTTGTTTTGGTTGTTGCGCAGCTTTTTCTGCAATCTGGGACGTTGGTTCCTGTTCGGTGCGCGATGATCGTTGATCTCGGCGCCGGCCATCGACCAACCGCTGCAGTCCCTTAATCAGGCCCAATGGCCAATGCTAGCGGACCCTCACAGAGGCTCACAGCTGCACAGCTCACACCAGCAGCGCTCTCGATGGCCAGAGAGCAGAGTGCGTTCATTGCAGTCGCCAGACGCGAGACGGGACCACACTTGGCACGCTCCATGCCTCCCCTCGGAGCGGTCCCTGGCACGACGGTCTTCCTTCGCCGTTTGGCCGCGCCCGCCGCCGCCGAAGTGCGCGTCTCACGCGGCCGCTCTGCGGAGCAGCTGCTCCAGCTCCGCCGCCGGCTTGTCGCGCCACCGCTTGAGCGCCTGTGATGGGGTGGTGGTTGTGTGTGGTGATGTTGGTGTGTGGGGGGGGGG